CCCCAGGCGAGAGGCGGAGCCGGTCCCTTGGAACGAGTGCGACTAGAGACCGGAGACGAAGGCGGCTGCGGTGGGACCGGAGGGACTGGGCGCCTCCGATAGGAGACTGGTGAGCCGGGCTCGACGCGCGGGGAAGGCGGAGTAGGAGGAGGTGCCGCTGCGGAGGATACTGGGGAGGCCGGGTGAGACACGCCGGACGGAGAAGGCCCCAGAGAAGGGGCAGCGGCCGGAGGTGGGGCATCGAAGTCTGCCCAAACAAGCGTCGGGGGAGGTGGAGGAGGCTCGCCCGTGGTCGCAGAGTGGAATGGGCGTGTCTCATCGAAGACGACATCACGGCTGCGAATCAGCTGTCTGGTGATTGGGTTGAGGAATAAGTAGTCTGGGGAGTCGGAGTTGTGCCCCAGGTACATGCAGGTCTGGGTTTTGGGACCAAGCTTGCCACCTTGCTTCCTGCGCGTGTGGGGGCTTAGCAACACATACGCGGTATACCCCCAGACGCGTAGAGAGCGGGCGGAAGGCGTGACCCCAAGCCAGAGAGCGGTAGGTGTGGTGTCGGGCCGGTGGGGATGCGGATAAAGATTGTAGAGGAGTGCCGCATGGAAGAGGGCATATCCCCAGAGTGACCGTGGTGCGTTGGCGTGACTGAGGAGGCAGCGAGCGATCTAAACCAAGGTGTGGTTGCGGCTCTCTGCAATGCCGTTCTGCTGCGGGCTTTCGGTGAGCGTGAAGGTTTGCCGGATCCCTTGGGCCGCACAGAAGTTATCGAGTTTGCCATTGCGAAATTCTCCCCCGCCATCAGAATGGAGGCACTTCAGAGGAGTGTCGAACGTGACTTGAGCCTGGCACACCCACGCCATGATGACATCAAGTGCCTCCGCCTTGGTATGCAGGAGGTGCACAAAAACATACCGCGAGTGGTCATCGACTAGTGTAAGAAATTACCGATGACCGCCTCGGGATGCGACTGGAGCTGGGCCCCAGACATCCATGTGCACTAGGTCCAGCGAAGCAGCTGCGACGGATGGGGAGGAAGGGTGCGGCTGCTGCCTGAGCTTGCTCTTGGTGCAGTCCAGGCAGGTGGGTGCAGGCGAGTCTGTTGGTGGAGGAAGCATCGACGGGAGGCCAAGAAGAAGTTTCTTGGAAGCGATGTCGGCAAGTGTACGGAAGTTGGGGTGACCCAAGCGATGGTGGTAGAGGATGGTTGGGTTGGCGAAGCTGCGACACGAACACGGAGTGGTGCTGGCAGCTTGCGCTTGGGAGAGGGCGGCGAGAGGTGCAGGTGAACGCAGCGTGTAGAGCTTGCTGCTGTTGAGTGTGAAGCGTGCTAGGAGCTTGTTGGACTTAGGGTCGAGGAGGTCACAGTGATCCGAGTGTGCTGGGACGATCGTTGTGACACCTGCCCGTTGGAGCTCATGTTGGGCCACGAGATTGTGGCGTAGTGTGGAAACACACATGCCGGTGACACTGCCCGAAGGAAAAGCTGGGCACGGAACTGTGGAGGAGCCCTTGGCGTGTGTTGTGAAACTGGAGTCTGCTCCAAGTAGACGGATTGGTGTCTCGTATGGCTTGAAGGAGTGTTCTTCCTTGAGAACCGTGTGAGTGGCCCCACTGTCGAGGGTGAACTCTATTGTGGCTGAGGTGCTTTGTGAGCCAGGATACTGTGAAATCGTCTCATTAATCATGGCAGTGCCAGGGAACAACATGTTGAGGCGCACATCAGCAGGTGCAACCACAGCAGCTTGCACGGATTCCTGCGCTTCGACTTGATTGACTTTGCGAGGAGCACGATTGACCATCCAGCTTGGCGGCTTGGAGGCGGTCCCATTGACGGCATACCACTCGTCATCCTTCTTCTTAAAGCAGAAGGCAAGGCCGTGGTTGGTGCCGCCACACACCTGGCTAGCACGAGGGCCGCGCTTGATGACATAGGGACACGGGGGGAAGCGGTTGCGCTGGAATGGCACCAAAGCGGCATAGGCTTGAGGCACGGGAGCGCGGATTGCATTGGCCTTGGCTTGAGCGATGTTGTCCTTTTCGGCAGAAAGGAGCGCGGATGAGACCTTGGCAAATGTGAGGTCTGCAGGAGCAAGGCCCAAGAGCATCTTGCGTGTGACTTCGTATGCCGGAGTGAGGCCGACTAGGAGAGCGGCTGCAGGGGCTTGCTCGGGGAAGACTATCCCCAACTGTTTGAGTTCACCATGAATGGACTGCACCTTGGTGACATAGTCCGCCATGCCTGGCGAGTCCTCGAGCCGCACTTGGAACATGCTGGGGATGAGTATAGCAACTCCCACTGCAGTCTTGTTCAGGAAGCGATCCTCGAGGTAGAGCCAAATGGCATTGACAGACGGGTAGTTGTGGTAGGTTTCGACGAGTTCGGGAGGAGTGGTGCCCATGAAGACACTAATGACCGCACCATCGGCCTTCTCCCAATTCTTGTACTTGAGCAGTGCAGCAGCATAAACTACTTCGGCGGCGGCATTAGCTGGATCGGCGGACCTCTCGGGTTTAGGAGGCTCTTTGCCGTCACCGATGTTGAGAAGGAAGTCGGTGAGCTCGAGCCCCTTCACCTCGCGACTGAGGAGGTGCTTGTCGACACCATAGCGCCAAGCCTTGTAGTTGGAGCATGTGCCGTCCGGCTCGAGACAAAGGAGCGGGATCGGGTTGGCGAGTGAAGTGGTTGAGTAAGCCATTGTCGGTGTGCAGCGCGGCACTTCTGGAAATTGGTCGACGAGAATTGCTGAAAATCACTCTGATGGCTGTATCAAAATGCCGCTAAGTAGGAAATGGCGTCGGCGAAAATTCGTTAAAACACCGACTTGAAACTGAATCTGAGCCTATGTCTAACCCCGGACCCACACACCCCCCCACACACCCCTAGGCCCTGTCCCACAGCTACACAGCTCCGCAACCAGCTCCGCAACCAGCTTCGCAACCAGCTCCGCAACCAGCTCCGCAACCAGCTCCGCTCCGCTTCAACCTGTGTACCTGCTCTTGATTTGACGCGAGACGTTCGTGGAGGCGATTTCGCGAGGGGAGTTTGCCTATTCTGGCGGGGTCTGAGGGGAAACTCGAGAACGAGTTTTAAGAGATGGTCGAAATTGAGATTCGACCAAGGAGAACCGAGGAGGAAATCGACGATGAGAAGCGTGAAAGCTTCAGAGATGAGAAATTCAACGAGGTCGAGCGCGAAGGCGGTCGACGATGAGAGGCGCGACTGCAAAGTGGAGCACGTCGAAATTCCGACGACTCGAAACGAATGTCGCGACGATGAAGTGCGCGTAGCGCGGGCACGTTCAGATTAGGACCTTGATCCGCGTGTGCGGATAGGTCGCTCTGATACCATGTAAGAAATAGAGTTGAAATGATTGATTAGGTAAGGAGCCCAAGGCTCTATAAGTACATGGCAAGGTGAGAGAGAATGGATGAAGGGGGAATTGGAGGGAATCCCCATTGGGATCTCCGGAATCTCCAATTGGGTAATTGGAGATTGGGGGGATCACAATTGGGTGAGGTTGGGATTTGTGAGTACACCCCAACCCACTAGAACATTCAAAACCTAAACTAGGATATAAAAGTACAAATACAAAAGTGGTATTTGTAGTCTATTTCTAACAAAAAGAGACTTCCCGGCGCTTCATGTCGGCATAAGACTTTTGTCGCTGCTGAGACAGCTGCAGCCAGTGGCGAGCAGACTTGAGCGCTTCTTGCTGCTTGCCCACAAAGTCTTTCGCGGCAGGGACTCGCAGTCCGCCTATCCCATGCATAGCAGGTGTCGTGGGATGCCGACCACTGTTCAGAATGAAGGGTTTTTCATGGGTACCTTTATGAACAGAATTGTTCACTGCGAACTCAACCACAGGTAACAAGCCATCCCAATCATCCTGAGTTGGGCCGATGAAGGAACGAAGCATGTGCTCAAGCGTACGATTCGTCCGATCTAAATGCCCATCCGTTTGGGGATGGAAGGCTGACAACATCTTTAGCTTCGTTCCGAGTGTCCGTGTAACTTCGTGCCAGAACCGACTTGTAAAGCGCGGATCTCGATCGGACACCATCACACGTGGTAACCCGTGTAAGCGGAACACGTGTGCTACAAACAACTTGGCCATATCTTCCGAAGATACGGCTGTTGTAGTAGCCACGAAGTGCACCATTTTGGTCAATCGATCCACAAAGACCAAGATCGCAGTATGAGCGTCGCGTGTTTTTGGGAGGTCTGTGATGAAATTCAGTGAGACACTCTCCCAAGGTTCGTCTGGAATCTCCAGAGGTTGAAGCAAACCACCAGGCTTTTTCGTGTCTGACTTGTTGCGTGCGCATGCATCACAACGCGACACGAATTGTTGGACCTCAGTCCCCAATCCAGGCCACCAGTACACATCACTTAAGGCCCACCGGGTTTTCTTGATACCCAGGTGTCCCCCGTACTTGGTGCTATGCATTTCCTCAATTATATCATTCCGCAGGTTACCCACGTGGGGTACCACAATCTCTTTCTCTCGCCACCAGAGCTCATGCTCGTACTTGAGGCTCTTCGTATTTTGTGGGTTCTAGAACCAGGAGTCAATATGGTATCCTGTGCGGATGCATTTCAGAAAACCACTGAAGGTGACCTCACTCACTCGAGCCACGGCAAGAATACCAAAGCAAGCAGCAACCACTGCCTTATCATCGGTTTCATCAAGCCCAGTCGCTGCGCCTATCGGTTGTCTGCTGAGGGGGTCAGCCATGTTCGTAGAACCTGCACGATATCGAATATCGAATGTGAACCCACTAAGGAGTTCTGCCCAGCGGGCTTGGCGCCGAGTGAGCGTGGATTGAGTAGAGAAATAGGTGTTCGGACAGTGGTCTGTCGTGACCACAAACTCCACACCTTCCAGATAACATCGCCATGTTCACAGCGCATGCACGACCGCCAGCAACTCTTGTTCTGACGTCGTATAGCGCTGCTCTGCCGGGGAGAGTTTCCTACTCTCAAATGCCACAGGACGGCCCTCCTGCTAGAGTACCGCCCTAATCCCTACTGTCAAGGCGTCTGTGACCATCTCATAGGGTTTAGAAGGATCTGGCAATACCAAAACCGGAGCATTGGTCAGCTTTGTTTTGACTTTGTCAAATGCCTCTTGGCATTGTCGAGTCCACTCCCATGCAGTACTTTTTCGGGTGAGTGCTGTTAGAGGGGCAATGACAGTCGAGTAATTTTCCAAGAACCAGCGGAAATAATTGGCCAGGCCTAGGAAGGACCTGATCTGACCCACGTCCTGTGGGACGGGCCAATTCTGAACAGCCACCACCTTCTTGGGGTCGACTTTAAGTCCGTTGTTCCCGACAAGATGACCGAGGTATTCCAGCTCGCGTTTGTAGAAATGGCATTTCCATAAACGAGCATAGAACTTGTGTTCTCGCATTTCCCTAGCACCCATTTTAGGTGTTGAGTGTGCTCCTCTTCAGTCTTGGAGTAAACCAAGATATTGTCGAGGTAAACCAGAACGAAGTGTCCGATAGCTTCGCGAAACACATCGTTCATGGCCCTCTGAAAAGAGGCCGAAGCATTGGTCAAGCCAAAGCTCAGCACGCGCCATTGAAAATGGCCAAACGGAGAACAGAACGCCGTCTTGGGAACATCTTCCTCCGTGATGCGCAATTGGTGGTACCCTTGTGCCAGATCCAACGCGCTAAACCACTGAGCACCCTGGAGTCGATTGAACAGGTCTACTATCCTTGGAAGAGGATATCTGTTCTTGATCGTGATCTTGTTTAAGGCGCGGTAGTCGACGCACATGCGTAAGCCACCACCCTTCTTGTTAACAAACAAGATTGGTGCTCCATATGGTGATGCGCGTGGCTCAATCCATCCCTTCCTGAGGTACTCCTCAATCTGTTGTTTAGCCTCCTCGTACTCAGCTAGACTGAGGTGATACAGAGGTCGAAACGGTGGGAGCTTTCCAGGCTCCACACTGATGGTGTGGCCCACGACGCGGTTAGGAGGGAGGCCGTCTGGAATAGACTCAAAAACCTCCTTAAATTCATCCGCCAGTACCGTCATCTGAGGTGGAAAATCCTCAATGTCTGGCGTCGGGGTTCCAGCTTCCTCGAGCTGTACAACAAAAAGTGTGTTAGCAATGCGGTAATGCTGTCTGAATTGACATGCAAGAGCAAAGCACACATCTGGACTTTTCGTAATTTGAACCACCGGGATGGTTGTGTCGACAGACACCCGCCACTGGATTGGTTCACCATTCTTGGTGAAAGAAACAGTGTTATCCTGGAAATCCATAATAACCTCATTTGCACGTAACCAATTCATTCCCAAGACTACGTCGACAACCGCAAGCAAGGGGAGAACGTAAGTGCGAACCTTTTCGCTATAGCCTTGGATTTCCATGTCGATCATTGTCCATCCTTTGCTTGGGATAAGACTATCGTCACCAAGACGAATGGGATATGACGGTCCTTCAACAAGGACCTCAAGCGGTGTGACCCACTTATCATCAAAGAGGGAAACAGTGGCACCTGTATCGACAAGAATTTTCGCGCTATGCCCGTTAACGCGACCCGAAAGCAGTAGATTTTGTTGATGCATTGGGCGGATGGGGCATGCCACAATGTTCGACGAGGGTTTGTAGTACACCTTGACATTGTGGCGGGCTCATCCAAAGGATTCAGATTTGGTCCACCACACATGGTGTCCCTTGTCCCAAGACACCAGCACAACCCATCCATGAAGCGATTTGAACGTTTCGCCCTTTACTGTACGAGTCACCACGGCGACCGCAGTCAGGGGGTGCTCTTGAGTACAACGACTCACAATATCGAGTACAGAAGGCGATGTTTCCAGGCCACAGTAAACGACTGAGAATTTATCTCGTAATGCTTCGATGGATATAGCATCAAGTGGGTACGATCGATGTGCAAACATTGATTTTTTATTAAAAGAAGAGGCAAACAAACAAGAGATTTTGCATTCAGCAAGCTTCTCTAGCTTTAGTAAATCATCGTCACATAAAGCATATGCCTCATCCCCTCGATCTATCTGACCGACTAGGTACCCACACCCTAGTTGGACTTCTGAAAATCCTTCTTACTGCCAGAAGGTCCTTCGCCTCCATTGTTGTTGCCCTTAGGCTTACCACTATGCTTTATGATATTTCTATAGTGGCACTGAAACTCCATGTGACCACGGCGGCCACACCCTCGGCAGACGACATTAGAGAAGTCCCTTGGCGGCCCTTTGTAACCGCCACCATTCGCCCTCTTAGTCGGAGGACGCTGCTGGTTACCATTCTGGTGGAAGGGCCTCTTGTACCCTTGGCCCTTCCCCTTGGAATTCCAATGGCCACCACCTCCATTGCCACCATCACCCTTCGCCTGAGTCCTCGACTCAGGCTGGTCGGTGGAAGGCGTTGCTAGCATACGAATAGTCTCGTCCGTTGCTTGAACCGCCTCGTTGAGCTCCTTGTAGGTGCTCCATTTGTTGAGGCCATTTGCGACATGCTTATCCTGCAGGGACTGGGGCAAGTTTTGGAAGAAGATATACATAACTTCATTCTCAGACAGTTGCTTGCCCAGCAGTCGCAGAACGCTCTCAAACTCTTGTGCATATTTCTGCACAGAGCGATCGCCGCACTTGATGTTTTCAAGGTGACGACGCACCTCCAAGTCAGTTGTCTTGACAAGGAAAGCCGTTTTCATTGCAGCACAGAACTCGTCCCAAGTGAAAAACTTTCCACTTGCTTCAAGCTGCTTCCGGCTAGCAAACATGGTTTGACTAGCATGCTCATCCAACGCGCCAGAGACAGCGGTGACACGAGCGTTGTTGCGCACGTTGTGGAGAGTCAACATTTCATCCACAGTTGTCACCCAGTTCTCAACTCCGTCTTGCCATGGATGAATTTTGGGAGCGCAGTGGGGAGCGAGCCAAAAGGTGTTGCCATAGGCTGGACAGGCTGCTGAGGTGCCACAGTTGAAGGAGCTGCAGCAGGCGGCGGGTTGGATTGGGTGCCCGATGGGCCAGCAGTAGCGGGTGAGTGTTGATAGATAGGGCCCCTCCGAATATCTCTGTACTGGTTCTGCACGTGAGCAATAGCAGGTTGCATCGGGGCGATGGTAGATTGCAGCTGGGCCGTTGTAGTCTGCAGTTGGGTAATAGCAGCTTGCAGCTGGTCGCACGTTTTCTCTAGAGCCAAGATTTGATTGCCCCGGTTATGTAAAAGACGCTTGTGATCCCGTACCTCTCCGTATGCCATGTTGAGATCGGCTTGCAGCCTAGTCGTGTCGGCCTTTTGTGTCGCCAAAGCAATATTGAGGGAGTTGATGTGTCCCTTCTGCTGATTGATTGTAAGCTGCTGCTCGGAGACTTGTGCCTGGATTTTAGCCACATCATCGGAGAGCGACCATGCCTCGATGCCATCATCCTCCTCCTCTGCTCCATCAATCCCTTCTGATTCTCCATGCTCTTCATTGCCCTCATTCTCCAAATTTAGGTCCACCAATTCAATATCAGCCATAGCCTCATCTTGCTGTTGGTTATTACTAGCAGCAAGGTTGGCTCCCTCAGGGGTCACATTAGGCTCCTCCCTTTCCAAGTTCTCCAAAACTTGACTTGAAGTCATAATAAAACAAGGAGAACTCTAATCAATCACCCCTCTAAAAAAAAAAAAAAGATCAAGAAAAATCCCACAAGGCTTAGGATTAACCTTGCTCTGATACCAATGTAATAACCCTTGCCCTTATATCATGGGCAACAAGGGTTGAAATCCAAACCCAACATCCAAGATCCTAGGATATAAATGGAGTACAAAATCAACTAACGATCCTCTAGCGTGGTATTTATGAGGGACCTCCTCTAAGAGATAGCTTAAGCTTGAGGAAGGCCCTTGAAGAATAGCGCTTGAGGCTCTGGTTGGGTAGGGCTTCCCCTAGGAGATCACACTAGAAGCCACTAGTGTAGGGAAGCTTGTGAGGAGAGCTCATGACTTAGAGAAAAATCCCATTTCAAGATTGATTTCTTGGAGTGGGAAGTTGAGAATGAGCTTCTCAGCCCAGACCCCTTCCAATGACTCCCAGCAGCTGCTCAACCTCCTCCATGGCTCCAAGGAGGTGAGCTAGCCTATGTGGCAAAAGGGTTGGATTTCCAACCAATGAGAGGTTTACAACAATGTATTCAGATTAGCATATAGTGTACAGCATAAGAATATTCGAGTTGAGTTGGCATTGCCAACCAACTCCCTGGTTCAGATTGGTCGCAAATCCAACCATCGCATGTGTTGGGAATTTCGCCAACTCAATTTGTACAACTAAAATCTGATTGGTCCTAAGTATCGACCAATCCCAATCATCCCCTCCCAACCCTTCCTTCCCATTTCGCGCTACCTAGGTAGCCAATTTGTGAAAGGTGGTTGGGACGGTCGTTTCTAGGCCCGTGTACTATGCCGAGGCCATGCGTTACACTCCTCCCCCTCTAGGTGGCAACGTCCCCGTTGCCGTAGAGTGCTTCTGGGGACGGGTGCTTCGAGCGCGCCGAATCACATTACGACCAGGGTCAACACCATCCACTGGTTGTGAGGCTGCTCTTTGAGCCAGGCCTTCCAGATATCCGTGAACCGCAGTTTCGGTCAAATGTTCCTCTGGCTCCCATGAGTTGTGTTCAGGCCCCATCGCAAAAAGTGCAACGTTCGCAGATCGTTTTCACCATTCGAGCTCGGGCATAAAGTCGAAAATCATCCGCCAAGTGTTCGCCAAATGTTTTTTTCTCGTTTCTTTGCACGTAAATGATTCGCGAGTGTTCTGAGGATGAGATGTTATGCGAATGAGTTGTTTTGTGAATGTTACACCTGAATTATAAACATGTTCCGGTGGTTTATATTTGCATAAATGATTGGTTTTTGTACACTAGAACTTCTACAATGTTTTAAAATTGTGCATAAGTGACTGAACTATTATAATATATAAAATATGTGCAATTTGCAAAAAAACTAACTCAATCCAACCCCAACCAGCTCAACCCATATCGCACACGCCATTCGAGGTTCGGCGAGCCCTGTAACCAGGCTGGGTGCTCCAATGGGTTGCGAAACCCAGATACCACGTCCTAACCCTATGCACCGTGAGGAAATTGAACAACCCCCTAGGGCATCAAAAGGGGCCATGCGATTGGTCGAAGCCAAACAACAACAATCGCAAGCCCAACCCACAGCCTGCTCCTTCGACAGCAAAAACGACCAAGGGAAATATGGTAGCAGATCTCGAATTCGGGATCTGTAATTTGCTCGACTTGCCCTCGTTTCCTCCTAGATCCATGCTCATGCGTAGCCATGCTAGAGAGTTGGTAGTGACTTATAAGATGGGATCGAGGCGACACCAACGTCAAGCTAGTGAACGCGGATATCAATTGAGGTTCCTGGCGCGCGTAG